CACCAGGGGCTACAGGAACTCGTAGCTCACTGTTCTTCTCGTGAGCTGCATGCCCAAACACAAACAGAGAAGGGCACATGCTATATTATATGGCAATACGAACAGAGGTGCTCTTGGCATAAAAATCACTGCATCCCATATGTGAGAGAGATGTTGCGAGGGAGAGAGACGAGAAAGGTGAGGAGAGAGAGAACCTTTTTTTCTTGAGATAGAGAGTTCTATGTGAGAGAGAGGAGAAATGGCAGGGGAGAGAGCTTTAAAAAAAGGGAGTTGTGTGTGAGAGAGAAGAGACATGGCAGGGTAGAGAGAGAGAGAGAGATCTTTTTTTCTTGAGATAGAGAGTTGTGTGTGAGAGAGATGAGAAATAGCAGGGGGAGAGAGAGAGAGAGTCTGTTCGCTTGTTGTGTGCGAGAAGAGAGAGAAAAGAACCGCCATGTTCCACGAGGCGGTGTTGAGAGTTTTGGGAGGAGAGAGAGCCTATCTTCCTCCTGGTGAGATAGTGAGAGAGATTGTGAGATAGAAGACAAACAAAAGAACTGCTGTGTTCGACGAGAGAGAGAGCGCATGTGAGAGTTGAGAGGGAGAGAGAGAAAAGAAAAGGCAGGGAAGAGAGCAGATTGGATTCCATCGGCGGAGGAAAGAAACAAAGTATACAGTACACGAGTCCTGTAATGACCCTGCAAAATTGCACAGAGTCATCGCACATCTCAAGAACAAGCCTCTGAACCAACGCCCAAGATAACGCGACCGGGATGCCTGAGCTCAAAAAATCTGCGTCCCACAGCGATGTCTTTAAAAAGAGAGCGGCGCCTGCAAGCGCCACCATCATTGGCGCCGGAGCGCGGAGCTTTCGCCTGGTAGCTCCCGAGTGCCACCATCAGATCTTCAGGAGGAGCACAACAAGGTCAGAATCCCAGATCAGGATCTGGGCATCTCCAGTGCCAGAGATAGACAGCGCACAAGAACCATCCTCCATTATGCCCCTCGTCGCCCACACAATCAAGAGGCATCACCACCATCGTGATAGCTAGAGAGCCAACCATGTGTGGAACACCTTCCAGGGCCGCCGCCCTGGCATTCAAGCTAGGAGACAGTGCCAACCGCCCGCTTCACAATGCACATATCGTGTCTAGAGAAGTCCGGCATCAGGCCAGAGCCAGGGTCAGCACTACCACGGTAGGGCACCGACGCCTGATTTCCCCTCCAATCTCTGTGGACTAGGGGGCATGACCCAAGGGCTGCTGACGGCGATCACTGGGCCCATAGCCAAGACAAAGCCAAATCCATGACCATCCACACTGATATAACTGCGTGCTTAGCACTGTCACAACCGCCACCGCCATGGACCTTCTCCCACCTTGGCCGCGCCGGAGGCTGCCTAGAGACGATCACCGACTCCTGGGCGACCAAGCGCCGGACTTCGTGCAAGGAGCAACAAACCCCTGGAAGGAGGACATGCATGTCAAATTCGCACACTGGAAGCTAGTCCGTCTTGCCATCGCACTGTCGGACAACACACCCGAGAGAGGAGGGCACTGCCCCATCAGATCGGACGCATATCTAGATGGGAGGCCACCCATTGCAGCTAGCAACTCCGGCCGCAGGGCAGACGCACCACACGATGCCAGCCCCGTCTCCCATTGGTCCCCCACACAACACCCCGCCAACACTCACTGCTCCACCTACCCACGCCCGCGAGAAGGCCACTATTCACTACCATCGTGCTAGTGAATAGTGGCCTTAACCGCCACCACAGCATGCCCTGTGCGACCCACCCTTAACCGCGCGCCGCCCGAAGCGCAGCTGCCATGCAAGCGCCGCCCCGAGCTTGCCATGGTGCTTGGCGCATGCGCTGCTTCCCTGCCTGCGGAGGAACGAGAGCCCCACCGCTAGCAACTCTGGTCAAGCTTTGCTATGCGAACCCCTGGCGACGTCATGGGAGGAAGAGGGTGGCTGGTGGTGGAGCGCAAGGTGCCCTCCCGGTCACCTCGCGGGTGGCGGCGTGAGAGCGGATAAAGTTGGGGGAGGTGGAAAACTCGTTGCCGCCACTGTGCCTTTCCCTGAATAATCAATCGGAAATATCATATGGACACGCTCATCCTGCACGCATGCTGCATTAGAGCGTAGCCAGGGATAATTTGAGACCTCACCATGTTCAGCTTGCAGCTATAGAAGACAACTGCATTGTGATTTTTGAAAGAGTGCTCCCAGTTACTCCATTGTGAATCCTCAAAATTTACATAGCACGAATCACAACCAAAACCGCAGTACACATATCTGACTGTACGATAACCATACGAGGCGCTAAAAGTAAAACTTAAGTGGCAACATTAGGCCACTTGGCACTTCCATCCAGACGTTGTTCCGGACAACACTTTCAATATGGATCTCGGAGAATCAGTTCTTTTTTTCCGCTTGGAGGACCCTGACCACGGAACGAAAGAGTACGCCAGCCTACGCAATTAGTATATGGACTCGACCAACTTGAGAAATGCCTGATAGCAAAGTGTCCTTGAACGGCCACCACTCATGACATAGTTCCACGGCACGAGCGGTACGCCCATGGGCTTGGGAGAGACTCTTTTCTGTTCATCCCCTTTAGAAGGACCTATGGCTCTTGTCGTTTCTTAAGTATTTGTTAGAAGGGTATTGGTGAGTTTTAAGCAGCACCTACTGTTTATTGGTGAGTATTAAAAACTGCCAAAAAAATTGAAGGGGACACAATGAATCACACCTCCATTTACGTATTACTGGCTGCAGCTGTACTGTTTATACATGCAAATTTCAAAATATACTTCAAAATTTGTTCAGCAACCATGTCCATATTAGCATGTATCTGTGGGTGTAGCTTTGAGGACAACACCACAGCGATCTTCGGAAATCCAATGGGACTTGTTTCAAATCTGGCACACTCTTTTCTTTGTGCTGGAACTCGCATTCCTGATGCATCCCCTTCATAGGATTCTAACGCTAAATCTCACCATGGACAACTGATAAACTCTGGTCATCATCCTCGTATATGCAGCTAGCTAATCTCCCTTCTACGTCCAACCTAACCATGGCAACAAGACAAGACATGCTCCGTGATGGCACACACCCAGGTCAAAAGCAAAACCTTGGAGCTGTTATATATCATGTGAGTTGCCTAGCTCTCAAATTTGGGAACTGAGAGTTCAAAAGAGTAGATTAACATTTAATAAATATTCTTGAGTGTTGGTCCATACTATAGGAAAGAATAGTATATATGTGGCCACATGTAGCGGTACTAGCAATTTACGTAAGTAGGTGCAGACAGATACTTGAAGCCAGTCATCAACCACTATTATTATGACATGTATTACGTGACTTGATAGTATGAAGATTTATTTCATATCAGATGGTGTGTTGTTTATTTTAGGCTTTTATAAATTAACAACACAAACACGCTTCTCTTTGACTTACATTTAAACATCACATTCATAATTACCCTGTATTAGAAAAAAAAAACATAACTCGTTGTACTACTAAAATTGTACAAATATTCTAAATAGGACAAGTGGCCCCATCCGCTTGATGATGCGGCCCTCACTGTCTGCTGGACGTTAGCCTATGTTCGTGTTTTCTTTGGATATAGTACATGTCATGAAGTCTAGGGTTGATGCTCGTGACCTACTACATCAAGAGAAAGGACTGTTGGGGAGCAGCTCCAGGGGTGCAGAGGCCTGTTATGAGAGTAGGATCCCATCATCAACAAGGCCCAACGTCAACGGCAAAAAGGGCAGTGTCTTCTTTGGTTGGGCTCATCGGTGAACACAAAATAAATTCCTATTCTCTTGGACCTGCACACCTCTTTTTACTTTTAGTTTACATACGAAGAAACATAGAACAACCATTCTATTGTATTTTCCATACAATTCAAATTTAATGTATATATACAGAGAAAATAAAGGAAGGAACAAAGCAGAGAGAAAATTCATCCAAAGCCTGCTCTTGGTATCTTCATGAGATTTTAGGAAGTCATTGAAATATGACAATCGACTCAATCCAGTCACTGAGGCGATTCAGGTCTTGAGTGTATCATTCCGAATCTTGAGATCATTCTTGAGTAGCAATCTTGAGATCATTCTTGAGTAGCAATCTGTGAATCTTGAGACCCATTCTGAGTGGAAGCAGCTTCCAAGTCACAGCAGAAGATTGCTAATCAAGAAGATTCGGTCATTTCTTTGCGTCCACATGTTCCAACACCCAATACATGTCCCAACACCCCCATAATAATGACGTCCAAAGCAATCTTAGATGGTAGCTCAGCATGAGAAAGCAGGATTTCCTTAAGAACTGTGAAGATCTGTATGCAGTCTAGTGTGTTGTTGGGGATATAATTAGCACGCCACTACATAATTAACTCCGTTTTGCTTTCAACGTCAATCTGTGAAGACTAATACTGTAGACCAGATTATTCAGTCAGCAATGGCTTCTGGTGAATAGGGAAGACGAGACAAGATTGGACGAAGCTGAGCATGTCAACCCATCAATCTCTAGTGGGTAACTAACTAACTAATGACCCCATCTCGTATTCTGGTTTACTTGTTCATCAGCGGCGGCCATGTGGACGGTGGAGCCGGAACGGTCCGGCGGGATTTTGGTACTCAAGTCAGGAAACCAGCCCAGCAGCCTAGGCCGGTCGAGACATCTGCATGAGTGAAGCTCGTTCAGAGTTAGTTTGGCGCTTCTTCCCTACTCTGCTCTACACTGAACCGAAGTTCCCTAAAGAAAAAAAGACTGACCGAAGTTCCTGACAAACTTTCGTTGCGGCTTCCTTCCACCCATAGAAGAAGAGAATCCCCGGAAAGTTTGTTCATATATTAGCACTGCTTGCAAAGAGCAGAAGCCCAGCCCAGACAGGATATGTCAACCATTCTCATACAGTCCTCTGAATCACCACTGCAGCTTCTTTCTTTGGTGATCAACGCTGCAGTTTGCTAGATTCGAAATCTAGCCATGATAAAACAGGCGAAAAAATCATGCATCCTAGACAAATTAAACACAACAACCAGCCCGTGTCCGTCGGCATCGATGGAAAGCAGCCGAGCTTCCAGATGTACAATGGCGGCATCATGACCGGCGACACCTGCGGCACAGAAATTAACCACGCGGTCACCCTGGTGGGCTACGGTGTCGAGCAGGATGGGACAAGCTACTGGCTCATCAAGAACTCGTGGGGCCAAAACTGGGGAGAAGGAGGCTACATGAAGCTCCAGAGAGGCACGGGCGCCTGCGGCGTTGACATGCTGGCATCTTACCCTGTCGCATGAACCTACCGAAGCACAAGATACATTAATTAAAATTATTACTACGCTACTCCTATATATAGAATAAACACAACCTGATTAACCGCATGTGCTTGCTTTGAAGAGATTATTAAGGGGCACTCCTTGATGTAACAAGAGATTGTTTTACTATCTAATATGTACTATGAATGAGCGATTGTTTGTACAATCCATTCTAGCCACCTTCGACACTGTACTCTATGTTTCATGTGAGTTCACTGCAAAAAAAAAATATTGTCTCAACATATTCTAGGCGATTTTTCTCTCCTCTTCCCTTTGCTAGGAAATGTCAATTTCAGTGTGGAAATTAAGAACATCGGGAATGATAATTAAGATAGGATGCCCCAGGCCCAAACTACCCACGGTCCGTTATGAAAATGTCAATTCCGTCAGGCAAAAATGCCATGAATGATCAGACGGAATGCCTCATGCCCAACTACCCGCATACGGGCCCTCAGGTTTAATATACCAATGTTATCGAAACAATATTGGCGTTTACTTTTGGAACCTGATTCTATTGGTGCTCAAGTTCTAAGGACTAAGTACTATCCATAAGGTGATCTCCTAAGCTGTGAGTTGAAAAAGGGAAGCTCTTACACATGGCAAAGCATATTGTCCGCTATCCAGACTTTTAAAGAGGCCATATCTGAAGGGCGGAAATGGAGAGAATATTAATATCCTCTATAACACTAAGCTCCCTAATTTTAAAAGGCTCACAATCAATTAAGGTCTCCAATTGAAATTGGGTCACCCGATTTTGACCATCAACAATTTTTCAAAGCGCTCACATTCAATTATTTTATACTACACACTACTTTCTAATTTTTTAGGCCTCACAGTTAATTAATGTCTTCAATTTAAATTAAGTCACTCAATTTTGACTGGGTCAACAATTGCTCAAGGAGCTCTCCCATTCAATTATTTTAAGTCACTATTGTTACCTAATTTTGAAGCTCTTCAATTCGATTGAGGTATACAATTATAGAGCCAATCCTTTTTCAAATCAATCAACAGCAACCGGCCTATAAAAACATATCAATCTTCCGCATCTCTCCCACCACCTACAAGAAAGAAATGCCACCATGTGATATTGTAGCACTAATATAGTACATACAGGTATCAACGCAGAAATTATGGGTTTCTTAGCGGGGATACAACAGAATCACATCGAGAAAGACCCACCAAATCATCAAACCATAAAAAATAAAACACACTGTTATTTTTGAGAAAGTCAAATTCCTTTAACTTTGACAAAGTTCAGAGCCAAAATTGTCAACATCCACAATTTTAAAAAAAATGGAAATTCATTTCATGATGAATCTAATTATACCGATTAATTATTATGGATTTCGATATATTTCTCTACAAATTTGATCAAACTTAAAAAGGTTTACTTTTAAAAATGTAATATGTCTTATATATTGAAACATACTGAGTAAAGTTTCAAAGAAACCCAACAACACCAATGGCAGCCCAAGCAAAAACGGTTATGACGAGGATGGGAAATTTTTGAAATTGATTAGTATTGAGACCTGATCATGGTAGAAGGAATTCATCAGAGAATTATTCTGGCAGGTGGACAGAGAAAGAATTATAAGAAGTCCGTTGGTTGAGGGGGATTATGAATGGTTTTCTATCGTTGCACTCTAATAAGAATGGGATTTTCTTAGTTAAATCGTCTAACTATGAGTGTGATTTCCAGCATGGTCGGCATCAAATCCCGTATGGAGGGCCATCTAGTCCCTACATGCACCGGCAAAGATCAAGATCCATAGTTGGCGTCTGATGCTTGCTAGGGACTATACCTTGTCTGGGTGTTCTAGGAAATCGATGTATCTCGGTGTCAAACATCCAATATGTTTTTCAAAAGCTTTATGTCGCACACATATTTTGTGGAATTATACACATCAAATTTTGTTTCAATTTATTTTAACATTTTAAATCACCTTAGAATATAGATTTGTTTTTAAATGGGGCAGATGCCACTAGGTTCTAATCATGCCTTCTCTACGGCTGCTCTGCTATCCAAGAAAAGAATTCTTAAAGGCAACGGTCATATAGCAATTGAATATGTATAGGTTATCCACGCCTTGCTCCCATATGATGCTAGCCTTTTTAAGTGAGCCCCACGGTCCCATATAACAGAATATTTGAACTGATGGTTTCAGGCGGTTGTACTGATAATTTTCACCTCGTCGAACTGATCATTTTTTTGTCGGAATGGGATGTGTAATGTATCGTTGGAAAACTCTTGACATCTACACTACAAATATATAGGAATTTTTTGCAAAATCATCATGTTTTAAGAGAAGTTTTGAAAAACCGTTCTTTTCAAAACGGAAGATGCAAATCGTATTTTGGACTCAATTTTCAAACGGTTTGTCGGAATTGAGCAAATAAGATGGCGTTGGAAAGCTGGTAAATATCCGCACCTTCCATATATCTGCTGTTTTTTCAAATTATATACAATATAAATGTAATTTCAATTTTTTGCTTTTTTTGCAAAAGGTTTGTCAGATTGACGCAAATAATACGGCGTTGGAAAGCTATGGAAAATGCGCAAATTTGATTTTGAACGTGATTTTTTTTTAAATTTGTCGAAATGGGGCAAATATTATACCGTTGGATAGCTATCAGAAATGCGAAACTTAGTCATGTTGAACGTTTTCTCTACTTCGCAACCGTTTAAGAGTAATTTTGAATAAGGTAAAACACATCATGTTGTTTTTTCCTGTCTAAAAAACAGAATACTTGTACTGATGTATGTATGTGTTTGTACTGAGGTATTTTTTACAGTAGTTTTGAATGGTTCCAAAAATTTGTACTTGAACCGATGGCCGTATGGTTTTGTACTGAGCGTGTATTTCACATACTAGACTTTTACTCTGTTTTTGCGGTATCGTTTTCCTTGTAACTTTTCAACGGTTTACGATATTATCGTCCTCGAACTTGCATGGTTTTATATCTTTGAACTGAATGACATTTTATTTTAAAAAAATATTGTGTGTCAACTCTACCATTTTCAACGTTGTTCTGGACTTGTTTCATCCCGCAACTTGAACGTTACCATTTGAATTTCTTTAGGGTTTTTTTTGTGTGTTTCAACTTTTTCCTAAAACTTATATAGGACGTTGTGTTGAACATAAAACTTTTTAAATTGTGAACTTATTGTGTTTTTACAATTCCAAAGCTAGCAAGTAGTAGGAGATTCACCCAACAAAGGGGCTAATTATATGGAGCAGCCGAAGTAATACCACAGTCTGATCGATAGCTAGGAGCAATAGCAGTGATCAACAATACACATAGATATGAACTGATAACAAACTTGCACACTACCTCACAAACAAGAAAATACATTAACCGACAAAAAGAACACAATACACATGAACTGATAATCCCCATGGCTAATGAAAGAGCTTTGTTGCATCTAGGTTCATCTGTTTATTGAAAGTAGAACTTATCAGTTTTATTAGTTCGGGCTTATGTTTAAATGCTCACCATTTTGGCCCACATCAGAATACTCATAACACAGCAATATTTGCTAAAGGTCCTGCAAATACATAGTTACAAAACAAATTCTTCTATTTGATGCCATGACGACTTGTATTCTAATATTTTAAGTAAATTATTCTGTCGCGCATGCTATTTTCTGTGTCGCCATAGGGCATTGTTCGTTTGGGATATGCATAGGGGTGCTTCCATATCCCATTAAAGAGAATTGAACTGGATATGGTCCTTTTTCATGCTAATTTCATTTCTCATTAAATTACATGGAGCTTCTACTAGGGACGGTACCAATATGGATATGTTTTACCATGTTCAGTTTTATTAGACTTGATGGCATATATAGTTGGGCACATTGTGTTTGATTAAAATACTCAATGGCATTTGTCGCTTCTTTTCAACTTATGTTGAGCTATCCCTTCAGAAGAATAAAAGCAAGAGAAATATCGCACTTCATGAATGATGCTTTCTTATGAAATATCGCACATAATTTTAGATCATTCCAATTTTTTACGACAGGTGTAATCTTGTATTCCCATTATTTTTGGAACATATCTGCTCTCTCTATCAGAATTGAAATGATCTCAGCTAAGTGGATTTCATGTATGAAGAACATTTTGTATCCTTTTATAGTTTGGTTGTGCATGAATAGTACTAATTACTATATGCATATCTGTGTGTACAAGAATGAAGAATCAGTACATGTATGTCCACATATTCAGTCTGTATGGTAATTGGCCTTGTCAAGAAGCTGGTTACACAAATCTATATTAGTGATTGAATGGTTTGCTTATTTCGCTTAGTAAGTCCACTTTATGTAATCCTCCACTTGATATTTATTTTTGTTCTTTTGACTAGAGATCAGAAGGAAGACCTATTCGTAACACCACTGGTGTGCATTCACTAGAGGGAGCTAACTGATCTTTTTTTCCTTTTTTCAACTTTCCTCTTGATGGCATTGTGGAATTCGTGGGGTAGTGATTATCTTCCTTTTTGCACGCATTAATTGTTCTTCGGTAGTCGTCTTTGTTACTCCTGTTCAATAGTTTCGGATGATGCCTACGACTGGTGGCCTTGTCGTCCACCCAAATACAACTGTTATAGCAAAATTGACTTCTCTCGGGCTAAAGAAATACAAAACTTTAACAAAAGAAGATGCTTGAATGCTGCTATTGCCGAAAATCCTCTTAACCTGTAGCGTACTAAGAACTTCTGGACAGTCAGATTCAACAAAGATATTTTGGCAACCTAGCTGGTTTGATAAAAGAACTCCATTCAGAACAGCTTGAGCCTTGGGAAATCTTATCTTTAGATAGCCTTGGTTTGGATGTAGGAAGGTCTTATTACCAGAATCAGGTATGATGAATACAATTCTACATAGAATGGGTTGCTGTAGTGCGCTACTCGTTAAGGTTTAAGATTTGTGGAGTTTAATCTTGTTTGGGGTTTTTAGTTCATATCAGTATAATTAACTGGTTATGTTTTCCTCTTCCGTTCTCATTTTTGAAATATTTTTTGCATATATGTTGTCGACAGTGTCGTTTGACGGTGTATGAAAGCGTTTGGCCCTGAACAAAATGGTTTTTGTTTAATCATTCGGTGATCTGGTGTTTGATCATTATGTTGATGTTTCCTTTTATTTTCCATAAACAAATACTATTGTTTCTACTAGAAATTGATTTCCCCCTTTGCCATCGAATAGAAGTTCTCAGCACCTTGGTTGTTTGAATCATGATCTATTTTATTTTTACATTTTTTAAAATGCTTAATTGTTAAGTACAGTAGTCAACAAAGAATAGCATGATTTAATTTAGGTTTTAAGAAATTTTCAGTTTTTCTTAATTGCATTGTATGAAATGCCATATTGAGTAGTTCGACAGAGCATACCACAAAACATAATATCTTCCACAGCTAATTTAGAAATCTTATTTGATGTACATGCCATTCTTAGCTCTCCATTATTTGCTTTGTTGTCCGGTTTCCATGGGTGGATTTACATAGAGCCATATAACCATTCCATTCTTCTACTATTCATGCTAGTTGCGAGAGTTGTTCTAGCAGCACATCCGCTAACCTTTATTTGTTGAAAGCACGAAATAGCTTTCTCCCATTAATGATTTGCATGCATCGGTGATGTCTAATTCAAGTTGTATGTTTGTAGAGAACCAAGTGATAGAATAATTGCTGAGATTATATAAGTGCTAATGAATCTTATCTAATATATATGAACACAATTTGATCTGATGCGGAAATTAGTGGCCAGTAGAAAATTATACCTCCGTTTGGAGAGGCCATCTCAGTAGAGAAATTAGAGTCTGAAGTTGATGACGAATTGCAGCAGCGTCTCCAGCACTTCGCCGGAGAAACGGCAAGGCCTTCACGTCAATGAGCCGCGCTCTCCTGATTGAAAAGGAGTGATTCTGGGAGGAGACGATGACTAATGCGATTGACTCATGTTTAGGTGCATCTGCTCCCTTATATAATGCGCTGACTAAGTTAGCTAGTCAGACTTACCTCGTTGGCGGCTCATCACCTCCTCGCCGTCGCCGTGCTTCTGGCTCGATCTTCGGCTCGCCTCGCTCCGGCTCGCCTCTGCCGTGGTCGTAGATAGAGACACCGGCCAGAGAAAAAGAGATGCACTAGCTCGAGGGGATCGGGAACGAAAGGATAAGCATGTACTGCCAACCTTGATTTTTGTTTCGCGAGAGAGGGAATCCGCATGTACTGCCAACCTTGATTTTTGTTTTTTGAGAATTCCTGCCAACCTTGATAAATGTTGTTGGTCCTTGAGCACGAATGGACGGACCACATCCGAGCTAAGTTTTTTTTAGCGAAACATCGGAGCTAAGTATCCCCCACTATCCGCAGAGGCCAGCAGCCTTGCAGCGCCCAGAAATATGTACCTTTGGGCCTATCTGGCTGGGCCTCGTGTCCTCTCAAAAAAATAAAACACCGCCCAGAGATCTCCCCATGGAGTCATTCAGGAGAGCTCAGGTATACCTGGGCATTTCTCGGGCCGGGCACCTGTCATTCAGGTATACCATGGGGTCTAATGAAAAAGACGTGGCACCTGACATGTGGGACCCACCTGTAAGAAATACCGTCAACAACGCTTAAACTAGTGTTTTGGGTGGAGTGGGACAGTTGTTCACAAAACGCGTGGTTTTGCGGACAAATTAGCAAAAGTCAATGCTTGTTGAGAAACCTGCCTTAAAACATGTGGTTCTGTGAAATTTACTCTAATATATACATAGAGTTTATCCTCTTTCGAAATCTACTTGTACTATCTCCTAGCTTGGATCCATTGGTTGTGGCGCATGTCATGATGTTTCCAGGTAGCTTCTTGGATGATCAGGGTGCATACAGGTTTGAATCAGCCCGCGGCCAGCTAGCATTCAGTCGATGTGTATATGTTTGGATAGTGATCAAATGATACCTTATCAAATATTTGGTCATTAACGAAGATTTGGTACTTGTTTAGATGAGAGCCAATTATTTGGTGAGCCAAAGCTTAACTACCAACTCTAGTTCATTATTTGATCAAAGTTGGCTAACTCATGTGCAAAAAAATTCTCAACCAATTTTTTGGCAAGGCTACTATGGGCTCAAACCAAACAGCCCCTATAGTCCCTGTGTGGTAAACAGAGATAATTTGGGGAGTGGGTGAGGGGGGAGGCATGTTACGTCACCTGGGGTAGTTTACAAACACAGTGCTCATCTAATTCAGAAGGTTTACAGACCCACAGATTTTGAGGGCTTTTTTCAAGGAGTAATTTCGCAGAAACACAGTTTTTGAGGCGTTCTTCTCACGCAGCCACATATTTTGCTAATTTGTCTGGAAAACCACACGTGTGTATCTAATTGTTTCAAGTTACTCGATACAGAAGGTTAATAGAAAATATGTTGATATGTGTATAAAAAACATAATAACCATACTCATGAGACAACTTTAATTCATCGCTTTGACTATCCAAAAAGGATTTGGCATTAGAACTCAATATCAAGTTTAGGTTGTAAATACCTAAACATCCAAACGAGAGTATTGGTATTCAATATCAATCTCAATATCCTCCGATATTGACAATGGACCCAATGTAATGTCAAGCCTCCGAATGTCTAAATCCAACCACCTTGGACTTAACCCAACCTGACCCCATAACCCTCACTCTCCTTCTCTCTCTAACATGCGGGTCCCACTCAAAGATCTGTACTTGCCCTCAAAAAGAAAATCAAGCTCCGTTCCTGCGGCGGGTGGTGATGGCGGACGCCAACTGCCCGCGCCGGCGACCGCTCGGGCTCGCCGCCGCTCACATGGGAGCCGCCCGCCAGCTCGCGCTCCGTGCTTGGACGGCCGCGAGATCAGCGCGCTCGACACCGACCCGAGCCCGACGGCGCCGCCACCGCTCTCCGCCGGCTCATACTCCGCCCCCCGCCACCGCCGCAAATGATGACGAAGACCTCGGCCTAGAGAGCGGCGGGCACGCCATGGCCGGACACGCGGAAGCAGCCCGGGCGCTCGCACGCGTCCTGTTAGAATAAATCTGAGGCGCTCCGTCGATCTACCAAGAACTAAGCAATCACACAAGCACGACACAGAGATTTGTTAACGAGGTTCACCGATATGGCTACATCCCCGGGGCCTGACTACAAGCGCTCCTCCCCATGACACCGTCACAATACTGCACCCTCGGTCGTCCGGGCACCAGCACACGCCGCCGGCTCCCCCGCGTTCTTGTGCTATTATGTTGGCATATGTTACATCGTGTGTCTATCCCTGATATATATGAGAGCCCTAGGATACAAGTGTCCTATTAGGACACAAATCCTATCTTGTATACACACAGTCCAAAACTAAGTCCAACTGTAACCTATCTTGTACAGTAATATTCGACACAACTCTAACACGTCCCGCAGCCGTGCCGGCCACCCGCAGGTCTCACACCATCTGAGCGCTGCTTTGCTGATTTTTTTTATCACAAGCGTCACTAGACGCGAGAAGAATAGTCCAATTCCCTCTGCGTCATTGACTTCGGCCAGCCTCGTCACCAACCCCAGACTGTAAGTTAGGGTCAGTTTACTCTTTAGTCTTTACCCACTCCCTTGAAGAATAGTCAAGTGCCAAAGTTCTATCAGGATACTGTTTTTGTCAAAGGAAGGCTGCCTGACCCTTCAGTAGCTCATTTCGTTTGATCCTCCACCACAGCCGGCCAATCGAAAGCAAGGAGTGGGGATGAAATAGAACTGAGAGCCTCGGAAGGGCAACAAGAGTATAGCAAGAGTAGATCAACCATGCAGCAGCGGCAGGAAACAAGAAGAAATACACAAGGAAAGTAAATCCGAACTTCCATCCGAATTCCATCATACCGAGCAACAAGATCACCGTTTAGCATCATCATCAGGTATCCACTCACGCCTAAACTATTCACTCCGATCCATAAAAAGTGTCACCCATTTTGTACTAAGTTAGTACACACTTTCTACTAAGTGGGCGGCACTTTTTATGGGTCGGAGGGAGTATCAATTAAGTCATTCGTCAAGTATGAGTTCATCATAGATGTTTCTTTCCAATACTACTTGTATCTGTAAGTTAATTTTGCCCTCAAGACTTTTGCGTCATGGAGCTAGAATAGAGGTTTTGCATAGATCGTACTAGTGTCTGTGTGGATTTATGATGCTCTGAGGGAAAAAGGTTCCATTGTCAATCTGCACTAGGAAGAATTAATATAGCCTATAGGCAGGATTTCCATGTGGGTGGAGATGATCATTTTTCAGAAGAAATATGCCGATAGAAAATCTTGTTTACACCCCGTTTTTTTTAGAAAGCTTACACCCCCTTTAACATACGGCGATTGTAATATTCTTGTCCAGGGATTAGTCTCTTCTCTCTTGACAGAACTCTGTATAAGCTCATATCTAAGGAAGCATCGGCCAGCAAAGGCATGTGGAGCAGTCGTTCCGCGGTCCTGCAAAGTAAATCTATGGACAGACATCTTATTCTAGTGTTATGCGACATCACAGATCAAGTAAAAATTGAGAAATCTTGAATAAGAATCGAGTATAGCCATTAATTTTGTGATTTATCACATTCAAGCGTCATTCCATCTGTTCATTCATCCATCAGTAAATGCATGCTCAAGAAGCAGAGCATCTGGCTCACCACGTGAAGAGCCACCGCTGCTACCCCTTTTCTTTTACGAAGTTAGCTTCACCATGTCTTCTAATAATCTAGTGACAGGCCAAAGACTTTAGTCTAAAAATAATAATCTAATGACACTCCATTTCTTCAGCTGCACAGAAATGGCAGAGATGGTCAGTTCTGCCATTGTCGGGGAGGCAGTCAGCCGAATCATTTCTGGTATTGCCACCAACAAAGACCACGATAAAACGGATGAAGCCGCAGAAGGTGGCCTAGAGAGGCTGGAGATGGCGCGCATCAGGATGGAGGCTGCGCTCGAGACATCCAACAAGTGGCAGATTACGGACACGCCACTGCTCCATTGGCGAAAGAAACTGAAGTGTGCTGCTCAGGACTGTGAGGACGCGGTTCGCAGATGCAGGCAACATTTTCATGAAGAAGATGAGAGAAAACAGATGGTAAGGCAATCCTCGCTTCCTAGACGTATTGCACATACGACCAAGACATTCATCTCCTCTTTCGTCGGCCGCAAAAATGATCATTGCTCGGACAACATAACTTCTGTTCGGAGATTCGAGAGGTTTGCGGATGGTGCTACTGAGTTTATCAGGTTTGTGCAGCTTGGCGGAACGCCACGACATCACATGTTCTTCGACCCTCTCATCCGACATATCTTTGAAGGAAAATCCATACGATATATGGTGTTGCATCCAGGAGGCCAGTATCACTTCTTCACCATACAACCCATAGCTTCCGAGGAGCGTGGTTTGGAGGCCATACTATGTTTTGTATATGAAGATTGCAAATTGCCCGAGAAAAGTTTTGCCCTCAAGTTCATGATGCGCATCTCGGAGAGCACAAACCTAATCGGAACTACAGTTAAGTGCTTGCAATTGGTGACGCCTCACTTCAAGTCCACGGCTGAAATTGTCATTAAAGAGATCGCACAGCTCCCTACGCAAGATTTCTCCTGTTTACCGCCTGAGGTTATGAGTGTCAACGCGGAACATTACTGGAATGAGATGAACACAACTTTTGCTGTATGCTCCCGCCCAGATCCTTTATGTTGCCAAGGATACGAGCACAAGATCGTGTCTTCCTGTCGTGGCGACGAAAGCAACAGCGGAAACAAATTGAGGCTTTCGAGCATATTTCCAGAACCAGTATGTAAAGTGTTTTTACAGCGTCACGTCTCACCATCCGAGTACCCTAACCTGCATGGGTCAGTCACTAGATATGACTTGGCTTCTTTGGAGAATTGCCGACCTTTGAAGCTTGGAATTCTGTTCATGCCTCATGACTCTCTGCAGGAACCCAAGTCCACAAGCAAGGGCTCTGTGATAGAGGCAATCGATGGAAAGAAGCAACACTTGACGCATGTAAATGTTCACCCGGATCAGCTCGACGAGATGTTTCTGCCCAAGGCGATAGACTATCTATATCATAACGTTGAGTCTACAACGTACGAGATAAGTTGGAGATCTAACCATGGTAGTGCATACCTATGTGTGGACATGACGAGCGCGACAAGATTGCCAGGAGCACCCGCGGCGATACAAGGTAGGAACAAGAGCAACAAGGTGGTTCCTGAGATGCAGCAAGAGCTAATGGAAAATGTGGAGTGGAAGGAGGTAGCAAGAAGATGCTTAAAACTTTGGTTGTTTCGTTCCTCTGAGAGAATGCAGAGCATGTTTACGGCGTGGCTGAAACGATGAGCGTCTAACTAGCGGTTTGTTGCTTAATTTCAGATTGTGAATCTGTTAGTCTTCTTACAGAATTGTTTTGAATTAATGTGTGCCAAGGCGAGCAGGACGGTTTGTTCCGTTGTACTTGTACCTCTTGCATATCCTGGTAGCATTATATCGTGCTCCTACATGTATATATCTCTTGATTAGTCGTCTCGTGTGATAATTGCTATGTAGTGTAATAGTCAAGATGCAGTTAACATCTTGATTAGTCATTTTGTATATATGTAGAATTGAACCAGCTTCGAACCAGTCAAGCATAGATTGGCTATGGTCAAACCACGTGGAGTAGATGTCAAGAGAAAACAATTGACATAGTCAAAAAATGTGTTGTTTAGAGCACACCAGCGTCTTACTTATGTGGGATTGCTAAGATACGGGTACAACTTGAAACATCTCGAGTATCTTTCTTTCCAAGAATTAATTAAATAGCTGATAGTAAATTAAAGCGTCAACCATGATCTATCAGCGTAAGTGAGATAGACAACAGGTGATCCAAAGGATTAAAAAAGTTAAGTACTCTCTCCGGCCGGAATTACTTGTCAAAATATTACATGTATCTAGACGCTTTTTAAGCATAGATACATATATATTTGAACAAATTTGAGACAAGTACTATGGGTCAGAGGGAGTATCTTTTTTCCATACGATGTACTACCTCCTTTCCGGTTTAAAAGGTTTACGCGTGTCCCTAAATCGCTATTGAGATCAATTTAATATAATTTTTATATCACAAAAATTATATCATTAGAATATAGAGCATTTGAAATTTCTAATGATTTTTTGTAATATAAAACTCATGTTACATTGGTTAAATTATTATCAATACAGGAAGAGTGTGCCTTATACTCCCTTCATTCCACAAAACAGCTCATATAAATTTGTGCACTTGGACCAAAGCAGCTCTCGTTTCTACTGCCCGACCACTCACATTGGCCGGGTATGGGAGCCAAGAGAAAAGCGAATTGTTTTGTGGAACAAACTCAAAAAATATATGTGAGTTGTTTTGTGGAACGGAGGGACTAGTATATACCGGAGAAGAGGCAGTACCAAACATCAACCTAAATTAATAGTAGCCGGTAAAAATAAAAGAGATACATGCTCATCTTTTCAGTTGTGAATATAGGTCAACAACCCTTCTTTGACATTACTCTCTCCAATTCATAAAAAGTGTTGCCCACTTAGTACAAAATTTGTACTAATTTAGTACGAAATGGACGACACTTTTTATGGATCGGAGGGACTAGGAGCAGGTGGAATTGAGCAGTCTCATTTTTCTCCAACATAACAAACCTGACCATTTAGATACCGTATTGTTACCGCCGGTGGATTTGGTCGATTGATTTGTGATAAGTGATGGAAAAAGTGGTTGTCAAGGGGGACATTGAAGTTATATTGGAAAACAAACTGAGTGCCCGATTCACAACCATCCGGTATGAATATATACTCTCCAATTCCCTCTGCGGCGTTGGCTCCAACTTAGCCCAGACATGAAGTTATGGTCAAAAGTAACTAGCTTTCTATTCTTTTACAACCTATCAAAACACCAAACAAATTAAACAATATACATGCAACAACATGATCACAGTGATGTCTCACTATTGGAAAACAAACTGAGTGCCCGATTCACAACCTTGTGTATCAATTTAGTTTATTTTTTCTGAATTTTTTATTTTATTTTATACCGGTGTGAATCCTATTGGTCAACGTTTGACGTGCGTTGCACGCGCAAGCTTACTAGTCCGTCTAAACAAGGATCAAATTTTCACCAGGAGCATATCGGAGGAGACGGGAACAACATCGGCGGAGCCTTCATGAAGGACACAACACCTGTAGACGCCACCACTGTCGTCCTGGCAGAAGAGCCAGGCAAGTAATGCACCCCGACGCTCACCCACCTCGCCCAAACTGCCAAACCATACATCCGCCATAAGCACCGCACGTCTTGCCACCAGGACCGCCACCATGCAACTAGACAACCCCGTCACAGACCAAAGGCCCTAGCTTTGGCCCGACCGACCACCCCTGACCAACGGAGCCCCTACTTGCCCGTGTTCGAAGGGCAAGAAGGAGGAGTGGACGCATCCATGACCGGCACACCCCAGCGCCCGCGAAAGGTCGCCCGACCACGTCAGAGCCTCCCCTCCCTCCTACCGACCTCCCCAGTCCCCGCCGAACACACCCCATGTCGCTCACCACGGTAGCCAACACACATCCCCGCGTGGCCACCCGCAGCCACTCGCCCACCGTCGCGGGACAATAAACAGACCCTTAGCAGTAGGCACGAGTGCTCTCCGGAGATGCCTCCTCACGCCAACCGACATCATCCATGCACCAGACCAGGAAGGTCTTGACGAGGACTAGGCCTGCATGACTAGCTAGCCACCGCTACTACTTACGCGGCCACCCCCACCAGCTCGTCGCAGAGCCAGGGGCAGCCGCCCGCAGCCCAAGTCACTCACACCCTACACCGACGGATGGGGTGGATCTTGGCTAGGCACCACTGCAGCCAACCTCGCCACCCAGCCACGTGTGCACCGCCCCGTAGTGCTACCACTGATCGTGGCACTCTGCCCCATGGCACGTCGAGCCATGCCGCGGCCGCCAACTGGCTCCGGCACGCTACCACGCAATAGTGCCCGACGTCAAGAGCTACCTCAAGGCTTTGGAAG